TATATATGTTTATTGTAAAATTCGATCTTTACTTAATCGTGCAACAAAAAGGGCGAAAACCGATCTTTTCTCAAATCATTCTTATGAAAAACATGAATCAACTTCGTCTAGTTCATCATCATGTAGTGGTTCAAAAACAAAATACGAAAGACGTGGTTATGTTATAGAAATAAATTCAATGAATAGAACTTCTCGATTAGCTGTTCCTCAAACAGCAAACACTCTTGGAACGGATTATCTTATGCGATTAAATCGTTTAAAAGCTGATCGACGTTTTGCTTTAGCAACAATATTTTTAGTAAGTGAATATTTACTTAGTTGGACACCATATGCTATAGTGGCTTTATTGTATTTATTTGATGTAAAGTATATTAGTCCACAAACAGTATTAATGACAATATGTGCATTTACTGCCAAAACTTCAATGATTCTAAATCCATTTTTTTATATAGCTACAATAAAACCTAATGTATTCAAATCGATGTTTTGTTGTGGTAAATGTTCATGTTCTTATTGTCGCATGAAAAGAGAAATGACAGATTTGTAGCTCTTTTTGTTTTGTTCAATGAAATAAAAAGCAATATTTAATGCCTTTAATATGAAAAAAGAAGGACATAATAGTATCTAATTGATCTGGAATGAAAGAAACGCATAAAATTAGAAGTCATATCTCAGAGAATTAGTTTTTGTATTTATTAAATCTTACCTTTGAATAAATAAAGAATAGTAGATAATTAGCTGTCTTTGTAAATAAACATTCGTGTCATTCATACAGAAAAAGAACTTAGGTCTATTGGTCAAATATTTGTTTTTTTTTATAGATTTTTTCTAAATACTAAATTAAAACTGATCTATAATATATTTGAAACCTATTTTAGGATGGATAAAAACGTCGCGACAGTTTACTACGGTTTGAAACAACTTCTGAATACATAGTAAAGAGTATCATATAAAAGTCTTGAAAAGGCATGCGATTTGCCTTTTCGAACTATTAGATCCAATTTATTCGATTGTACTTTATGCGTATATATATATATGTCGAAAGTTGATGCTGAAATCAATCCTTGATATATGTTTATTTCTATTGCAACACGTTTTTTCTAATTATTATTTTTATTTCCTGAATAAAAAAAATAAAAAAACGTAATAGCTGCGAATAATTGAGTTTTAAAGTTAATATACTTTGATGCTTTTCTTTGTTCATAATCGTCTTAATACGTTACAGACGATCATGCATATTTAATGAGAAAAAAATTCTTGTACATCATTATTTAGATTATTAAGGCTTACCGAACTTATTATGAGGAACTATATTGGTCTCATACAGAAAAAAAAGAGCAAGTCAAAAAAATAATTACAATCTCACTAAGAAGAAAGAAAAAAGAAAAAATGAGTCTTTTCAGATTTACAAGAAGTTCTCTAATAAACTATACTAAAGTCTTAAGCACAAGAGTTCGTTGAGTCTCGGAAAGTTTCAACTAAAATTCAAGTCTATGAGGTTGTGCGATCTATAAAATGTGAGCGTTAGCAGACGTCACGCTATGACGCTAATTTTCTTATCATCTTGTCACTATTATTTTGTTTTCTCTTCTGTTGTTTTTTTACCTATCTATTGTCAAGATCTCTATTATTATAATAACTATTATTGTTGTTATTCTTCATTTATTTCATTCTCGTAAAATAAAACATATGAATAACAACTTTCGTATACTCTATTCGAGTTTTAAAACGATCAGATACTGTAGGCATTTCATTACATGAGATCTCTTATTCTCGAGCAGGCCACACCGTCTAGTTTTATTATACTTTAGCCTACGTAATATAGTAAAGTAGTACATTTTTTTCTTAGTAGAGATCATGAAAGAACACAGATAAGCCTTATTCGAATTAGTTTAGTATTTATTACAATATGAATATCGACATCTTTTTACTCTTCGATTAAAAATCAATCAAACTCTTTTATGTATTCTATTTTATATTTTAAACTTTATGTTTTCACGTATGATTGAATATTTTTTCTTTGAGTTAAATTCGAGCTGTTAAGCGAATCAGTCATTTTCATCTATTTCTTTAAATATGATTTGATTTTTGAGAGAAATATATTGAACAACAACTTTTTTAATACTATGAACATGTTATCCGATCACTTCATCTTCAATACTTCACAAAATTTATTAGTTTCAATTTGTTGATATTATTTATAGAATTTCCATTGACATTTTTATTTCATTTTTCAAAACACTAGTTGATCATAGAGTTTTGTTGCAATAAAGAAATATGAATACATAGCATTTGTTTGAAACAGAAGAGAATCATATATGTTAATTTTTACGTATTCAAAACAAAAAAAGAACGCATTTTCGTTTTGCTATATCTTTGTCTAGTTGACGACAAACTACTGTCGAATAAATGAAGCCCATATATCTTTAATTAAACATGAAAACACTGGAAAAAAATCTCGATGTATTATGGAAGTTTTTTTTGATAAACAGCTGTATTTGATCTTTATGAAAAACTTTATAATTACTTGATCTTATATCTGGTACAATGTATCATCATAACTACAATAATCCTCGTTAATATACTGTCACTCTAATATAATTCAATGCTGAAATGCATTTTTCAGCTAAAATAAATTTTATATACACGTCATCCATAAAAAGATATAACTTATTCTTGCTCTTGTGCTATGTTTGTGTGTGGATCTGCAAAGTTGGTGTGAGATAGACTATAGGAAGTGAAGGTATCGAGTGTAAGAGTAGATAGGTCGCGTGGTTAGTGACTGTGAATGTAAGTAAGTCTCCTCATCACCCATTCATTCAACTACACTCACACTTCAAACTAAACTATACCAAAATTTACAATATAATATCATAAATGACTATTAACCAACCAATTCCTTTATCTTCATAAGTTCTCAAACTTGAATACAACAACAATTATTAACCCTTTGAGGACGGGATTACTTTGAAAAAGAATGGGGATTTCCGAAACTCTAAAATGATGTATATATTAGAAACAAGATCAATGAGGGCGCAATACACATGACAGTGTCACACTACATCGGACATGGCAGATCTATGACCTGTGCAGCATATAGATTATAACAGTATCATAAGAGACATAAGCGTAAGTCGGTTATCATCCGGTCCAGAGCCGTTGCCTATATATAGGCTTCCCGTCCCCAAAGGGTTAATTAGTCCATGACTTCTGAAACTAAAATATGCAGCTGTATAGAACAAAAATGCTCTTGTGTGCTTTTTATTAATAAACGTAACAGAAAAGCAAATATATCGAACATTCCTTAATTACATATTTTATTTTTTCGATATAATGTGACATTTTTTTGTGAGCTCATTGTATATATGAATAAGATCATATTGTTTATAAAGTTTCTTCATATAATCAAAATATTCTCTTTTGAGCGTTTTGTTTTTCAATTAACACGCATTTCAAAATCCAGTTAAATCCTCCTTAATTATAACACATATGTATATAAACGTATTAACATGTTTGATTGAATATTACAAATATTAATAACAAGTGATAAAAATTGTTTTTTGAAAATACAAATTGAAAAACTTGCTTCTAAATAAACATGAAAAATTTCTATAAATTTTTTATCATTTTTTTTTATATTGTTCATTAAATTAACGCATCATTATATTTTTCCCTTATTAATAACTTTCCTATATATTTACCATTTTCTTTCGAATTTCTGAATATTTATCTTAATCATTTGATGTATACTGTATGTTCTACATTGAGAATTAATGTTTAAGGAATTTAACTTCAAGATAATAGAAATAAATCTTTCATTTAAATCGTATTTTTTACTTTTAGTAAACATTTGTATTTTCTTCAAATTAATATTCATCGATAAACACTAGTGACAAGATTGGTTGATATTAAGAAAAAATCATTGATAATTAACTTTACATTATACATAGTACATATTCAGATTAATTATTCTAATATTTTTATATTTCTTCATTAATTAATTGAAGAAAAAAATCTTACCAATACAGAGATCTCAAGTCGTCTCCCATGCAAGATTATACAAACCAAGTCCATGTAAATTAGAATAATTTATTGAAAGAAGAATACCTTTCATATATTAGAATTCAAGATTGAGAAATTCAATTTTATGATGAATTTGAGGTAAAATTTTGAATAAAATCGATTAAGTATTGTATCAGTAAGTCGAGAAGATAAATCATTAGAGGAAGACGTCATCAATGTTAAATAACTTGTCAAAATTGGATCATGTACCATTGTATTGAGTCGTTAATTAACACTAATTAAAGAATAGACTATTTCAGCATGATGCAAATTTTTCAGAATAATCATAAGAATTTCATCATGTACATCATTCAAATCAAAAAAAACTAAATGTTCCATGTGTTCTCTTCACCTATATCTAAGTTGTTTAGCTCACGTCTTTACGTATATTCATGTCTTTCATTTGCCCAATGTCGTCTATGAGAACAATGATACTTTCATACATAATTTCAATTGACAATGAATGTTTGAATGACTGATCAAATGATATTTGTCTTTCTCTCTTTTTTATGACTGGCGTTGTTTACATTTTTATTTCGTCCTTGCTTTTGCATTCTGTATGCAAAAACTGTTCTTGTTCAACAATGAAATCATTTACTCGAATTGGATTTTGATCAGAATAAAGGGATGTGGATGTCTTTCTCTATATCCATATACGTTCATACCCACAGTCACTCACACCCTTAGAAAAAAGCAATAAAAGTAGTAAACGATACGTGCAGGACATCGCAATCTCTAGAAGAGATAAACACAAGTTGCCAACAAGTGACTCTGTGAGCATCTCTGATGTTCATATCTAGAAAAGAGAACTAGAAAGTTTCTTTACTATTTCAATTCAGCCGATCGAAAAACAGACTGACCTATCTATTTCGAAGAAAAGATAAATACAACCTGCTTGCACTCCACGTTTGCTTTTCAGCAATCGATTATTCTGTCGAGATTTGGAAAAATTAAAACATTAAAAAAACTTTTTATTATTTGTGACTTGTGCCAAAAGAAATAATTTTAAGAATTGTAGATTGTAATTTGCCAATGCGTTTCATGTTCTTAATTGAAATATTAAAACATTCATCAGGGCTCTGCATTACATATTTAAGCACAAGATAAAAAACAAAAAATATTGCGTAAAAACAAATAAAAACAACATGACCACCAAGAAAAAATAGCAAATTCTCGAAAACATGAAAAAGACCATCAAGAGAAAAAAGAAAAGTAACTTCTCGAAAAAAATGAACAAAACCACCAAGAGAAAAAATAAAAATAAAATGCAACTTCTCGAAAAACCGAAAAAAATCGATAAGACCAGGAATAATGCAAAAGGTCCGAAGAAAAAGAGTGCAATATTGACAACTTTTCATTTTTTATCTATTCGAATTTACATATGACTTGCGATTACGTATATAATCAGTTATGTTCTAACTTTAATTTTTATAAGTTATTTGTATTAAATCACTGTTTTTTACAATAAATGAATCTATTTTATTT